ATAGAGAGAAACACTGTTAACTGATGATATATGGAGGGGATAATAATCAGTGTAATGAAACAAGCTATATGAATGGTTGAATGTGAAGCTGGTGATGTGCCCTGTAAACCTTCACTCAATCCAAAATAAAAACATTTAATAAAAAAAAAAAAAGAGTGATGCGTACTCAACCTTGGTCAACAGGGTTCTGTGATACAGGGATTGAGCATAGTCTGAAGAGAGAAAATAAGATGCTTGGGTGTCTTAAGAATATTAGTTTCCCTTGCCTACTATTGTAAAATAGACACTTGAGTGGGGCAGAAAGGAAAGTCGGGGAACATGTTTACAGAAAGTTTGTAAGCCTGTCTGCAGCCTATAACTGATTGGAATACCTAAACGGGGTTCTAGAACTTGCCCAGTGAAATAGGCCTCTTGTGGAGCCTCTGCAGTGTATAGGATCTTAGATGGAATCCTGAGCCCCATCCAGAACTTTCTGAGGTAGAACATTCCCACTAGCAAGGACAAGCAGACCAGCCTGGAACAGTTAGAGCAACACAAGATACATCTTCAAGGAAAGATTATCCGGAAAAAAACAAAACAAAAATGGCAGTATGAGTGGCTACTACAAGAACAAGCAAGTTGTTCGCCAGGGAGCCATCAAAGGCAAGCAGTCAACTCCCTTCATGACAAACCCCTCTTCCAAGACTGAAACTCAAAGGGAGCACATGAGCAGGCATGTAAGCTTGCGGATGACCACGTTGGGCTACTGGTGAGTGGAAGAGGGGGAAAGGCAACAATGAAGAAATGGGCTCAACCATGTTCCATAGACTCCTGTTGACCTGGAGATGAGAGAGAAAAGAGGACGGGCTTGTTGGTCCAAAGTGTGGTGAGACCTGGGGAACCTAAGCCCATGGAAAAGGACATAGCCACAGAGGGCTAGAGCTGAGATAGAAGCATCCAGCTGATATGAAGTGAGGGGAGACACACAAGAATGCCCAAACTTGCACACAGTACCCATTTGACCTAGCCTTGATGGCTAGATAATCAGAACTCAACAAGGAAGATTAAAAAATAATTATTTTTGATAAAGGAAATGAATGTAAATTGCTACAACTTGATGAACTTGACCTATACTTATATAGTAGCTCAAAAGACCAACTGAGAGGGAAGGAGTCTTCACATCAAGTATTAATACTATCCCCTCTGTACACACGGTAGATTAGGGACGGGCAACTTAGACATTGGCTACCAGGGGGCGATAAAGGTACTAAGTGACTGGCTTACAAGTTTTCAATAGGGAGTTTAGTTTAAGAGTGTGCAGGGAAAGGTAGAATCCCCATTGAAAAGTTTTCACCTTGTCAAGACAGCTCTGGTGAAAAGAGATGGAGATAAGATTCTTAAGATTCAATACTGAGTAACTGTTATCATGACTAATTGCTACTGTCACAGCTGTAAAGGTAGAAGGTAGAAGTTGTGTAACAAAAAGGGGGGAGTAGTTATTACAGTCCAGAAACAGAAGACCCTAGGACTATCACGGAACAGGAGCGGAATGTGTGACCTTGTCCAGAGAAGCAGCGACACCAGAGATGGAGGCAGAGATGAGGACATGCAGAGCAGCTGAAGACTCTAGACTCATGTTAAGAGAAAGGCTGTGTGTTGGTGGCCAGGAGGCAGGCTTACAGAATGTGCCCTTTGGTTGTTTAAATGATTATATATTCCTGAGTATTTGTGTGTATACCCCCCTCCCCCCAAAAAAAACCCACCACCACCAACAGAGGGAATAGAAGCAAATACTGTTGGATGATGATGATTGGACGGAGGAGACTATAATCATTGCAAGGACACGATGAGTGTGAAACTGATGTTCTCCCATGTAAACTATTACTCAATTCACAATTAAAAAAAAAAAAAAAAAAAAAAAAGGAGGGGGCATCCTAAAGCCAAAGAATTCATCTCACATCCACTGGTTTAACAATCTCAGCTTAGATATCCTTGTTAAGTGTCGTTGAGTCGGTTCCGGCTCATACAGGGTACAGGGTTTCCAAGGAGCAGCTGGTGGTTTGAACTGCTGATGTGGTGGTTTGCAGAATACTGCTGATCCTATAGCATCACACCAGCTTTTATCCTTAAGATATCCAAAAATATTTAGTTTTGAAGAAACTCAGAAAGATCATCTAGTACAAGCTACCTATCCAATGGTTTAATATCTTCTAAAGAATATGAGGTTTGTATAGTTGAATAGAAGGAGCTCTGGTAGCGTGCTGTTGGTGTTGTCAGGTGCCATCGAGTCAGAACTGACTCATAGTGACCCCATGTACAGCAGAACGAAACAATGTCCGATCCTGGGCCAACCTCACTACCGCCGCCACACTCGATGCCATCAATGATGCCACCCGGCTGATCCATCTCGTTGGGGGTCTTCCTCTTTTTCTCTGACCCTACATCTTACCCATCATGACATCCTTTGCCAGCGACTGTTCCTTCCGGACATTATGTCCAAAGTATGAGAGACGAAGCTTAGCCATCCTGGCCTCCAAGGAGCACTCTGGCTACACTTCTTCCAAAACAGATCTATTGGTTCTTTTGGCAGTCCATGGCACTTTTAGTATTCTCTTCCAACACCACAACTCAAAGGAATCAATTCTTCTATGATCTTCCTTATTCACTGTCCAGCTTTCGCATCCATATGAGGCTACTGAAAATACCATGGCTTGGGTCAGGCGCACCTTAGTCCTCAAGCTGACATCTGGTAACGTAGTGGTTACAAATTGGAATGCGAACCTCAAGGTCAGCAGTTCGAAACTACCAGCTGTTCCATGGGAGAAAGATGAGGCTTTCTGCTCCCCTGAAGATTTACAACCTTGGAAACCCTGTACAGGATCGCTATGAGTCAGAACTGACTCCATGGCACATAACAACAACAAATAGTTGAACAGAGCATTTCAAACTTATTTAAGTGAAAATGTAAAGTCTATGATTTTCCACCAAAAAGGAATTACTGAGAACGAATTAGAAGAGGATTTTTCTCAAGAAGATACAAAATAGACGTAACAAATACTTCATGTGCCAGGCACTATTGTAAGAGGTTTACTTATTTTAACTCATCTAATCACAAGCAATCTTATAAGGGTTGCTGTTGTTATGTGCCATGGAGTTGGTTCAGACTCATAGTGACCCTGCTCTAAGGGTAAATATCATTATTCTCCTCATATTCCAGATGCAGGAACTAGAGCAGAGAGGTCACAAAGATTGCAAGTGGCAAGGCCAGGATTCAAATTCAGGCAATCTAGCTCCATGTCTGCATTTTTGTCAATAAATTAAACTGTCTCTGAATAAGTGAATAAATTTGAGCACTCTACATCAAGTTGTTATTTTCTATTATCCAATTTTTGTAGCTTACCTTATCTGACCAACAGAAAAAGGTTGATCTGGGAATTCTAGAGATCATTAACATATAATTGACAACATTGTTTTCGCCCACTCAGGAATTCAAAGTATGTCACAACAAAAAGTATTATATGTTGTTATTGCACTGAACTTTTATAACAAACCTATGAGATATGAAGGTACTATTATTATTTTCAGATGAGGAAACTGAGGCAAAGAAAGGTCACCCAGATAGCAATCTATTTGATCCTATAACACACTACCTGACTACAGAGCCTCCTTCCTCCCAAGGCCCTTTCTGTCCATACCTATTCACTTCTCTAACATGCCTCATCTCACACTTAACGTATTTGAAAGAGAACATCTACCACACAGTTGTCTTACAAACACGACTCACCACTGGAGACCTATGTGCAGGAAAACCTCTATCACGTAAAGTGATACTATTTTAGAATTATTCCCGATGCAAATGGAAATGGAAGGACCCATGGCTCATCTGTATTTCTCAGCACTTAGTGTAATCCCAAAGGTGGTTGTTATGAAGTGTCGTCCAGTTGGTACAGACACAAAGTGACCCTTTATAGGTTTCCAAGGAGTGGCTAGTGGGTTTGTATTACCAACCCTTTGGTTTGCAGTCCAGTTGTTGATCCTACAGCACCACACCATGAGTCCAATCCACAAGGTTCCCAAAGTCAGTAATGACTGATGAATGCACAGAATCAGGCTTTCTACCATTTCATGGTATTAAGGAATTATCATGTGTGCAAGAAACTAAGATAGAACCCTTGAGTTAAAACTATACCTACAACTTGGATAACCACCAGATTCTATTAAATTTCGGTTCAAGTTGAAATTTTTTAGTCATCTTATTTGCACCTCATCATGCAAAGAAGCATTAGGAATAAATGTTCTTGTCATTTGTCTTTCATGCCAGCATTCTACTTTGGATTTGGATCACATGCTGGCTTCACTGGGATGGTTTTGAAACAAAAGAGCATACTGATGTATTTTTCCTTTCAAAAGCAAGGGTGCCAGCTATTGTGCTAGCCCCTGTCACTCACCTCAGCCACCTGCTGGGTCCCCACTCTGTGCTGAACCAGCCCCTCCATATTTGTAGCCATGGTGAAGCAAGATCATTAGAGAACCTGTTTGGAAAGATGCAGCAACTTCCATCAGGTAAGGAGAAACCAGGCTACTTGAAAAATATTAGCAATCAAAATTCATCTTTGGGTATTGTCTTGTGCAGATTTTGCCCTCTACTGGAGACAGAACTAAGCAGGTTAAGCATATGTGGATACGATGTGACAGCTTCTTCAGTTACAGGTATAAAAATTAATTATTATAAATATTTCATTTTCAAAACAAGACATTCCCTGATACAGACAGAGATGAATTTGGAACTTTAATTATCAAGTCTCTTGGGCTCTACCTGCTTGATTTACATCTTAGGGAAGATGGAATCACACATTTTTGGATAGCTCCCTGTCACAGTATGCTGAATAAGAAGGTGGCTATCTGAGAAAGAGGTGTGAGATCACCTTTGGATACTGAGCACTGATACTGATAGATTGCTATCATCAACTACACTTCTGTTACTAGTGGCAATGCCAGAAGCAAAACCCTGTCCAGATGCTAACACCTCACTCATGGTTGAAAGGCAAACCTTATCATTAACTAAGAAAGAAGTAGACACCATACCACTAAGGTGTTCTAAGAAAATGGCACCCACAAACTTATCAATTCATATTTTTAAATCCGCAATAGATTTGAAAGTACTGGATTGCTAACCACAACGTTATTGTAGTAAAAGCAAAAGTAGATATATAGTGCCATTATTTACCACAATCAAGGCAGATAATCTAAATATCAAAAACGTGTTCATCTCCTGGGTAACATGAATGACAACAGAGCTCTGTAGATAAAACTGTAATATCACAGAATGATGGAAGTAGTACTTTTTATAACATAAAATTCTTCAGAAACCAAGTAGATCAAAACCACCCATTTAATAACAAAGAACACAATGATGTTGTGACTTTGAATCAAGGGTTCCAGGCTATCAGCACATTGTTGTTCAGTGCCATCTGGTTGTTTCTGACTCACAGAAACCCTGTAGAGAATTTCCAAGGAGTGGCTAGTGAGTTTGAACCGCCGAACTTGCAGTCCAGTCCTTATCCTACAGTGCGCCACACCAGAACTAAATCTTGCAACCAGGTTTTCTTTAGGCAAGAAGTAGTACAGAGCTCACTGAGGAGGAAGCTGGACTCTGGCCGGAAACAGGTGACTTTCCAGACAGTTGCCTGGGCAGCCCTGCTATACTCTCCACAGGCGCAGGCTTAGCTTAGGAGCTGGTGTCTCAAGTAACAATAAACAAGTCATAGGACAAGAGAACTACTGTCTTCATTGACTAAAGCCGTGAGTCTGCCTTTCCTTTCACAATAAAATGATTTAAATCATCTGTATTTATCTTATGTGATCCATATAACGAAGTATCTGCCATCTTGATATGCTTTCCTCTAAGCCAGTGATGCGGAGGCTCTAGCACTAAGTTGCTCTTTCTGATAGTGGACTTGTATGAAGTTATTGTGAAGATGAAATCTGAGATACAATACAAGGGGGCTAGCACTGTGCCTGGCACAGAATGGACACTCAATAAGTACATCAATAGCAATTAGTGTACAGGTCATGGTGCCACTTCACTTTCTCACACACTGAAAGCAACAATTTGAACTGTCAAACATATATTATGATTAAGAAGAGGTCTATCATTCCGACATATGATCCACATGACATTTATATATATGTATGTGCACACATGTGTTATATATGTACACATGGCATTTGTAATTTACCCTGTTAAACTGTACAACTAGCCAAAATGAATGGGGTGAATTACAGTAAAATCTCACAAATATTCAAGGAAAAAAACCCCATCCTAATGTCTATTTGCAAAATACTACTGAGCGTAGAACTTTCTGACAGGTACAAGTCAACCATAATAAATATCAATCAGTATGAACTTTTATTAAGGCTATGATTGTCAGAAAACACAAAATGAAGAGTCAGATAGTCTGAGAAAGAATAAAATATGAGAAATATATTCCAAATCTTAAAACCACAGATCAAGACTTCAAATCAGAACATGAAAAGTCAGCGAAAATTCATGAAAATTCAGGACTCCTTGATTTCAAAATCGTAATTTTCCCTCTAACAAGGAGCTCTGGTAGCGTAGTGGTTACGAATCGGGCTGCGAACCTTAAGGTCAGCAGTTTGAAACTACCAGCCGCTCCGCGGGAGAAAGATGAGGCTTTCTACTCCCGTAAAGATTTACACCCTCGGAAACCCTGTACAGGGTCGCTATGGGTCGGACCCGACTCGATGGCACTTAACAACAACAACAACAAATTTTCCCTCTATTCCACAGTACCCTTCAAAAATTTCCCCAAAAAAGTGAACCAAGAGGAAAGAATTTTAAAAATGACAGGTGAGCCAACAAACAAGATGGCTGATTGGATAGACGTGCAACGAAGAGCTCCGTCAACAACAAAACAGAATACCGGACCAAGGGATGGTGCTAGAACTCTGAACCACAAATAAAGGAATATTTAGAAAGTTGGAAGGTTAACAGCCAGGGGAAATTTGTAGCAGAAGCAAGAAATCCATTGCTTTCTAATCCAAGAGGCTTAGCTGATCCCAGGGCCGCCATCTTGGGAGAGACCAAGTGGGGGAAGGATCAGAGCAGCCACGGATGCCTGACAGAACCGTGGAGTTAAAGGTGTGAACACTCTCTTTTTCTGTACTGTTCATTGGTCTCTTGCTGGCTTTGCACCTCCATTCTGGTGACTAGAGGGGGTGCCTGAGCGAGTGGACACCCCACCCCCAATCCCTGGAGGGTTCTACTATGCATGCGTACAGATCTCCGCAAAATTTAAAGTGACAGTTTCCACTTAAAACCAAACAGCAGTGCAAAACGGCCACAGCCATCCCTGAACTGTTTACCACAAGGAAAAAGGCCTAAACGGGGATTGTGGAGCAAGATAGGCAGACTAAAAAGTTAATAGGCCAAAAATTAAACACTGAGTTACGTCACAACAATCAACAGTGGCATCCTGAAATTTCTCAGTAAGAAGAGTGAAAAGGGAAACCCATCTCCTGATCACATCTACCTGGAGGCAATAAGAAAATATAATAAAAACACCAAAATACACACCCATCTAAGTATTAAGGCCACAGATAAAACCTGAATATGCCCAAAAAACAGAAGCAGATGACCATATCAGCATATGTCCAGAAACGAGATAAAGTGCCTGAACCAAATGAAGTGGAAGTAGACCTATACTCCATATGGGATGATGGGCAGGCAGGTTTTGGAAATGCCTGAAAAGGAATTCAGAAAAGTGATTATAAAATGCATGAAAACACTACACAATGGAGTTGAGAAAAATAAGAAGGAAGTTAGGAAAGCACTACAGTAACAATCAAATAAAATAGATACAGCATTGGAAACAATTCAAAACCTACTGAAAGAGGTCCAAATGATTACTAACAGAGTATCAGAAATGGACAATACACTGAAAGGGCAAAGGAGTAGAACTGAAGAGATAGAAGCCACAACTAGTGAGCTAGAAGATAAATCTCTCAACACTACTAAGATAGAAGAGCAAACACAAAAAAAGGATTTAAAAAAATCTGAAGAAGGAATGTTGGACAACATAAAGAAGAATAACTTAAGAATTACCAGCATTCCTGAACAGGAAGAATCACACAAGTCCAAAGAGGAGATAGCTGAAGAGCTTCTGGAAGAAAATTTTCCTAACATCCTGAAAAGCAAAGATAAGCATTTAAGAAGCTCAACGAACCCCAGTAAGGGCAGACCCTAAAAGACAATCTCCAAGACATATTTATTAATAATCAGGCGCTCCAAAATCAAAGATAAGGACAGAATCCTGAAAGCAGTTAGGGTAAAGAGAAGTGTAACATACAAAGGCAAGCAAATCAGATTAAGTTCAGATCTCTCAACAGAAACCATGCAGGCAAGAAGTTAATGAGGAGATATATATAATAAAACCCTGAAAGAAAAAAACCCCCAAAAACTGCCAACCAAGAATCCTCTACCCAGCACAGCTGTCAATCAAATACAATGGTATAATGAAAACATTCCAGGATAAACTGAAGCCAAGGGATTTTGCCAAAGCCAACCCTGCTATGAAAAACATCCTAAAGGAAATTTTGTGCATTGAAAACCAACAAGAACAATGGCATATGTGGCAACATCGACCTGAACTCAATCGACAAGTGAAAGAGTCAAGAACAGAATAAAATTGTAAGAACAGAAGATCTGGGAGGTCAGTCTATTATCAAAACAATCACAATGTGACAGAAACTAAATACAGAGAAACAGAGATCCAGGTGTTGGGAAGGCCAAGTAGATTACAGAATAAAATACTGTCTTAAATGGAGGGAAGAGTTAATGGAATATAAGATAACCACAACAGTGGGGTTGAGGTAGGGGGGGTTTTAGTTTGGGTGTTGGGGAGGGCAATACAAGAAGGGGGAGGAAGCAGAAGAACAAGATAGATAGGAGAACACTGAGACAAAAGTGCATGTATGTCCTAAGTGGGACAGAAGTAAACAGTGATGAATACTCAACCTTGGAACAACAGGGCTCTAGGATACAGGGATCTAGGCATAGCTTGAAGAGGGGAAATAATACTAACATGCTTGACTGTCTTAGGAATATTGGTTTCCCTTGACTACAATTGGAAAATAGATACTAGAGTGGGATAGAAAGGAATGTTGGGTAACATGATTACAGAAATCTTGTAAGCCCATCTTCAGCCTATAACTAATTGGAATACCTAAAAGGGGTTCTAGAACTTGCCCAGTGAAAAAGGCCTCTTGCAAGGTCTTTGCAGAGTACAGGACCTTAAGTGGAATCCTGAGTCCCATCCAGAACTTTCTGAGGTAGGGCATTCCCACTAGCAAGGACAAGCAGACCAGCCTGGAACAACTAAAGCGACAGTGGATACATCTTCAAAGAAAGATCATCAGGGAAAAACCAAAACAAAAATAACAGGCTACTACGAGAATAAGCAAGCTGTTCACCAGGAAGCAAGCCATC